AGGGGCGGCGACGGGGTCGCGAAGGGGCCGCGAGGGGCCTGGAAGGGCGGCAACGGGGCCGCGAAGGGGCCGCGAGGGGCCTGGAAGGGCGGCAACGGGGCCGCTAAGAGTAGCGCGAGGGGCACGCCACGGGGCGTGCCGAACACAGAGTAGTAGCGGAAGCAGTTAGGTGGGCCCACAGGCCAGGACCATAGATGCTCTGATAGCATGTGAATAAATTGAGGAAATGAAAGAAGAGAGAGGGGGTTCACTAGCAAATATTGGGATACATATAGCAAACCCTATAAAGGTTGTACTCACGATAGAGTACCCCACTGCAGACTAGAGAAACATAATATTCTGACAACTACCTGATATACGACCGCAAAATGCTGGCGATCGTGCATGCATTCAAGTGTCAGAATCCCAACCACTAGACCATTGGGATAAAAGGGCTTGTTAACTAGCCAGTCAGTGCGCCCATAACCCCCCAGTGTGGCGATGTAACCTCACGGGAGCAGACGTGACAGTATGGACAAACCACCGATCACTACAGTACCTTCGCGCCCAACCGAATCTCAATCTGCGACAGATCCGCTGGTTGGACTATGTGGAGTTTAATTTTTACTACACGGTCACGTACAAAAAAGGCGCATCCAACATCGCCGACGCACTCACACGCCCCACCGCCCAACTCCACGCCATCCTACTCGCCCAAACCAACCCACTGCTAACAGACCTATTCATCCACGGATACAGTACCGACCCATTTTTCACGACCGAAAATTCACAGCAACTGGCGGAGGCTAAAGGAGTCTATTACGTAAAAACAGGCACCAACCGCATCTGGGTACCTGCGTACTCACTACTGAAGGAACTCTTACTACAGGAGGCACACGTCGGAATTACCTCGGGACATTTTGGGGTAGAAAAAACGCGACAGCAACTGCAGCGGTATTATTACTGGCCGGAGCTGTTGACCGACGTACAGCGGGCGAATGAGGAGGAGGAGGAACTGTGGAAGGAGAGAAGATGGGAGGCAACGACTGAAGCTGCAGAGGCACGGGCACAGGAGCGGCTGACTCAGTGGCTACCGAAGCAAGGGCGACGGACTACTAGAGTGAGTGGCTCCGCGGCTAAGACAAGCGGCAGGAGCAACGGACCCACTCGCGACTAGTGCAACAGGCTCACTGGCTACCGAAGCAAGGGCGACGGACTACAGGCGCTGCAGGCGACACGACAGCTACCTCCACACAACCTCCTCCAACTGACCCACACCCTTGACACATACCCCCTGCTGAACCCCTAACTACACTCCCACGTCACCCCCCTAGCACCATTCCCCTCAGCTCCCACACCTCCACCCCCCTCAGCAGCAGCTGCAACAGTGGGAGACGAACAAGGAGATGGGGAGAGGGAAGGGGAGTACCCACACCGCGCACCCCCATGCTCGCCACCCCACACCCCCCACCACCGCAGAACGCACGCCAGCAGGGGGGGGGGGGGGGGGGGGGGGGGGGACGGTACAGGAGGGGCCGCGCGTCTCTCCTCAGGGCGCCAAAACGGACGAGCAAGGGGGCGTGCGCGGCTCCTCAGGGCGCCGCGACGGATGGGCGGGGGGCGTGCGCGGCTCCCCAGGGCGCCGCGACGAGCAGGGCAGGGGCCGCGCGCGGGTCCTCAAGGCCGCGCGACGGGCAGACCGGCCGCGCGCGGCCTGCAGGCCCGTGCACGGCCTGCAGGGTGACGCGACGGGAAGGGCGGGGGGCTGCGCGCGGGTCCCCTACGGTAGGAAACCGCCGCACGCCTCGAGCGCACGGCGGGCAAAAAACCCAAAAAAAAAAATCGCCGCGCGAAGGCTTCGCACGCCACAGGGGGTGCAACAGACAGAGTAGCAGCGGAAGCAGTTAGGTGGTGGGCCCACCCACAGGATCGACCCAAGGGGGTCGACCTGCTCTAAAACCATGTCAAAGTTAGCAAGCAAAAACAGAATTGAAGAAAGGAGGGGTTTCACTAGCAATAGTTGGGATACATATAGCAAACCCTAACTAGGTTGTACCTGCTATAGAGCACCCCACTACAGGCTAGATAATAACATTCTGACAAAACAGCGACCGTAACACGAAGCTCACCAGCAACTTCTGGAAGAACCTTTGGGAGCACTTCGGGACCAGGCTACAGTTCAGTTTATCGTACCACCCCGAGACCGACGGTTATACGGAGCTGACCAATCAGACGATTGAGCAATTGATTCGGGCCACGTGTGACGACCCGACAACTTGGGAGCAGCAGCTGCGGCTGATCGAGTTCGCGTACAACAACGCCATGTCAGCGACTACGCAGCAGTCCCCATTCTACCCAAACTACGGGCAAAACCCAACAGTGCCCATGACGCCGAGTCCGGACAACCCCTCGCCACGTGCACAGCGATTTGTCGAGATTCTGCAGGCTGCCAGATCTACAGCCGCAGAAGCAATTAAAAAGGCAAATGTCATCACTAAGCGCAACGCTGACCGCCAGTGCCGCCTAGTCACATACCAGTCATCTGATTACGTATTGTTTGACACGCAAAATCTGCGACTGCCCGATGTAGCAAAACTTCGACCTCGCTACTGTGGCCCATTCCAAATCAGCCACATGATTACGCCAGTAATGGCCCATCTAGCGTTAGCGACCGACTGGTACATCAGCCTATTATTCCACGTTAGCCTACTTCGCCCACAAATCCCAACAACGAGCCAACTGCCTTGTCACCGCATGCCATCCATGACTCGCCTTGCATCGGAGCCGATCATGGAGCCCGAAAAGATTATGAGCCATCGGATTCGACACCCCTCGGCAATAAGGAGGATCGAGTTTCTCGTTCGCTGGAAGGATCGCAGGCCAACTGAGGATAGCTGGGTGCCCCTGGCCAACATTGAAAACCACCCTGCCGTGCAAGTGTACCCGAGGAGCCGGGGTTTCTGCGATATACACGCACTCGCGTAGCGGAGGAGGCTTCTTGAGGGGGGAGGGGGGGGGGGGGGGGTAGTGTAAGGAATTTTATTGATATTCCTTAGCGCATCCTACAACATCGCGTACAGCAGGAGCCGTTACTCTCACTACTGCTAACGAGGCTTCGCCAACTTCGCGCGCAGTGTTTCACCAAACCATGCACCGCTGGGCTGGCCGTGTCGGCCTACGCTTCGGGACTAGCCCGCGCCTTGTTGCCAGCCTAGCACTAGCTAGCTCACACGCACCGCGTTACCGTTTGCATGTTTCTCATATAAATGTTCTCTCATGCTCACATTTTGTACTCGTTTGACACTTAGTGCAATCGTAAGGAATTTGCCAATTCCTTACTGTAGCCTTGCCTTAACGGGTACAGCCCGAGCACTTCGCGTCAGGTGGCTCGGCCTACATTTCCGCACCGAACCAATGCCGAGTCGCCCCGCACCAATCGCAACACATCCAAACCATCCACGTCCCGAGGTCCTCGCCTAGCACGGTTTCGACCCTAAAAATGCGTGCTCCTTGATCACTCTTGATCATTCAGTAATTCTGTAAATCCTTCTCTTTATAGAAGTCTTCCGCGCACTCTGTCTAGTAAAACTCATAACAGCAATCCTCGCTATGTTATGTGATGACTTCGGGCATGCCGCCTATCACCCCATATTTCAAAAATGTTGTATCTGAAACAGAACCAGCCCCATTTAGGAAACACCTGAAACAGCAGCGGTTCGGTTGATTCTTATTGAACGAAACAGCAGACACTAGCCGCCTTCTGTAGTGGAACATCCAAATGCGAAAGAATCCTTTTCGCGACTTGCTTCGGGACGTCCTCGCGATCCAATCCGACGCAAAGATTTGCGTGTATGGGTTTGCGTATTTCTACAAGAGCATTATATATATTTACCCGTATGATTAAGAGTTGAATCGGGCTCATCTTAGACATTTCAAGGGTCACGTTTTAGGAGCCCGTTCCACTTTCTCGTGATTTCGCTTGCCCCGCTTAGTTATTATAGCCCTCTCTCCCATCCCAGTCGACTACAACACTAGATAGGTCTACAGTTGAACGCAGCCAGTAGGTGCTGTTGAATTGCTAACGCAGGTTGATTGTGTTACGCTCAAGTGAGGAGACGTGCAGGCGTGGTACTAGTGTTAAACACTGAATCTAGGGCACTTCAGCCCGGTAATTTCTGGGCCCAGAGCAAGCGACACCCCTTGGTCACCACCATCCCACGTCACGACTGACTCACGACTCACCACCACCGCTCACTAGCAGCTTGTTGGGATGCGGTGTACGTACAGTAAAAACAATCTGCCATGATCATCAACCTGAACTCCTGAAGACCTCTTCCTTCTCGCGACAGAACCGTCAGTAGATACGACCACCGCATTCCAAAGCATCCATTTCCTCATCAAACCTTTGCACCGATCTCCCTACACCTAGACGCAGGATGTCACGCCATGGTGCCACCTCCATCACACACCTGAAACCACATTTGCTTCTCGTTCAAGCCATTCCACGATCACCTGCCGCACACCAGCCTGCTTCCTCGCACTCCACACCTCTCCATTTCACCCGCTCGATTCTAGTTTCTGCTTGCACCGCGCTTTGACCATCCGCACAAGCACGCATTTTCTTCTCATCCGTAGCTTGTCGCTTTGCTTGTGCTGTCCTTGGAACGGCATCACGGCGAAGCTCAGTGGGGTTTCTAAAATTCGCGTTTCGGCTTTCCTTACCCTTGTTTCACTGACTCAATCGTTTGCGATCCGCCGCTCCCATTCACGCAAAATAAACATCGCGAGCCCACCGAGGCGCCACAAACCTTTCACCGTAACATCGTCTTTAATAACCCAACAGAACTAGGTCCAACGGCTACAGCGTATACATGCTGGAGGCTCTGTAGAGGAGACTAATTGTCACGATGTCTGACTAGGTCTGACTAGTTTGACCAGGTGTGCTTGGCGGTTGAGTGGAAGGGTCTCGCGCGATTCGAAGCAGGGAGGAGGGGGAAGGGCATGAAGCGCCTATGGCGGCAATGGCGGGCAGGTTTAGCCCCTGTGGTAGTTCTGCTGCTGGCGGCGCTGCTGCTGGGGCATTGCGCGTCGCATCTGGCGCAAGCAAGCAGCAGTAGTGACAGCAAGAGCAGTAGCAGCAGCAGTAAGAGCAGTAGCAGTAAGAGTAGGAGTAGTAGCGATGACAAGGAGGGAAAGTCACTCTCCGATGTGGTTGAAGAATCTAAGAGCGGCAACAGCAGCAGCAGCAGCACCAGCAGCTCCAAAGACGAATCTTCGAAGAGTAGCTCCTCCTCTTCTTCCTCTTCCTCTTCTCCCCCCTCCTTGTCCTCCACTTCCAAATCTTCTTCTTCCTCTAAATCGAACTCATCGTCTTCCTCCTCCTCCTCCTCATCGTCTTCTAAACCCGATTCAGAATCGTCGTCGTCGGACTCGTCGAAAGGCGATTCGAAAGACTCATCTGTATCCTCGAAAGAGTCGTCGTCAAAGGATTCGGACGAATCAAAAAGCAAATCCTCAAAGGAGGCCACTTCCGATGATTCCTCGAGCAAATCCTCATCGTCCGATCAGTCCTCGTCATCTAAAGCCTCGCTGGAAGAAGAGTCGAAAAAGCCCGAATCGTCGTCTAAATCTAGTTCCAAATCTTCCTCCTCCTCCTCCGCTTCCTCCTCTGCCAACGGTACCAGCTCAGATGCGTCAGACACGTCAGACGTCTCGTCGGCCAAGTCAGATAAGTCGAGCAAATCGGAGAGCGAGGAAGAGGATAAGGCAGAAGGTGCGGGTGAGTCTGAAGCAGATGCGAAGTCGAAAGAGTCGAAAGAGTTGAAAGAGTTGGAAGAAACCGAAGAATCTGAGTCTCATGAATCAGGCGACAAAGAGGAGGCGGACGAGGAGGAGGAAGAGGACACGGCTCCGCCCTCTCTCGCTCCGCCATCCGCCGCACCCGCTTCTTCCCCCGATTCCGCTCCCGCTTCCGCACCATCCTCTGCGCCTGCCTCTGCGCCCGCTTCCGCTCCCGCTCTCGCTTCCGCGTCTTCCCCTTCTCCGGACTCCGCCCCTCCAAACGAGGCGGACGAGGCGCAGCTCGCGCCATCTTCCGCTTCCGCCCCGATCTCCCCCCCCACCCCCAGCTCTCAACCTGCGCCCTTCCCTCCGCGCACCAAGGGCCTTCTGCTGCACGCTGCGCCGGGCGTGGACTTGGGGCGGCCCGCGGGCATTCACCCGCTGCGCGGGCAGCCCGCGTGGGACGACGAGGAGGAGGAAGGGGGGGGCGCGGGGAGCGGCGCTGGTGGAAGCGGCGGCACTGTCGCCTCGAGCGCAATGGGGGAGGGCAGCGGGGGACTGGGCGGCGGCGGGGCCGGCGGCGGAGGGAGCGGCGCGTTTCCGGTGCACGGGGAGCTGACGATCTCGTCCGCCGCAACGGCGGCGTCGTCGCGCGCGTTCCAGCGCGCGTGCCAGTCGCTGACGCCCGACGCGGCGTGGATCTGCTACAAGGGCGGAGACGTGCTGGCGCAGCCGAATCTCGCGCTGTACCTCGTGTGGTACGGCGACTGGGACAACGACCGCAATGGCGGCGACAGCGGGCGGAAATACATCCGCCATTTCATCAACAACCTCGGGATGCCCGGATTGGTACGCGTGCGAGGGCGGAACGGGGGAAGCTGGGCGGAGCCGAGGGGGAGGGGGAAGGGAAGGCGGTTGGGAGGTGGGTAGGGGTGTCGGTTGGCGGGGTGTTTGCGCTAGTTGGGCAAGGGTGGTGGGGTGGGGGGAGTGGGGGAGAGGTGAGACATGCGCGCACGGGTCTTGGAGAGTCGGCGCTGAAGAAACGCCCGCATGCGCTCGTGGAGACCCTCCTTTCCTTCCCACCCGGACTCACCGGTTCTCTTGCCCCGCTTTGCTCAATCCTGTTCAACACCCCGAAATCCTCCCCGCGTGCCGCCTCCCCACCCCATCGCTTTCAGCATCTCCCTTCCAACTTCTCCGCCGCTCCGCGTCCCGCACCCCCCTGCCCGCGCGCTTCCCCTCCCCCGTTCCGCCCGCCAGGAGGGCCTGCCGTCGCCCAACAGTTGGTGGCAGATCGTGCGCCAGTACGCGGACCGCGCGGGCGTGAAACCCGGAGCGCAAGTGACTATAAAGGGCGAGCACGAGAACAAGCAGTACTCGCAGGGGCGGCACCTGAGCGCTGACACGTCGAGCGTCTTCAATATTGTCATCGATGCGATTAACGCCGGCGCGCTGCCGTTCGATCCCGCGGGCGCTTACGTCGTGCTGACGTCGGATGACGTCACGCTGGCGAGCGCGGACCAATCGCAGGTGGGTGGTTGGGTGGGACGAGGCGAGGATGGGGAGGTAGGAAAGATGGGAAGGAGAGAGAGGGGAAAGCAAAGGTGAGGGGGAGAATGGGGAGAGAGAGGGAAAAGCGTGGGGCGTGAGGCAGGGGTAAGAGGAGAGGAGAGGGCCGAGAGTGGTGAAGGGGAACCTGGGAACAGGTTGGAAGGCATGCGCGTACTGGGCGTGCTACCTTCTCCGCCATGCGGGTGGGTTATGTGCCGTGTGGATTCGTGGCCCGCACGCACCTACCACCACACCACCCCTGTATACGCCATGCTCCTCATGTTCCCCCTCCTTCCTCCAACCCCCCCTTGCCCTCCTCCCCCTCCCCCTTCTCCTCCCACTCATCCTGGCACCCCTACCTCGCCTCACTGCCTCCATATATCCCCTCTCCCTCCCTGTCGCTCTTCCCCGTACCCCTCCCTCCCCCTCCCCCTCCCCCTCCCCCTCCCCCCCTGCCCTGGATCCTCATTGTGCATGGCGCATGGCGCAATGCGGGCAGTCGTTCTGCGGGGTGAAGGGCAAGGGGTACTGCGGGTGGCACCACCAGTCGGGCGTCATGCTCGGCCCCAACGACAGCTACCCGCTCACCTTCACGCACGTCGGTAAGTCCGCTGTTCCTCTCCCGTTCTGTCTTGTTCCCCTCACCAGTCACTCTTGATTCCTGCCTATTCCCGCCCTACCCGTACTCTGCACCTTCCCCCTCCTCTCGCTCCCAACCCTCCCGGCCACCCAGCATCATGCTGCTCTGCCTCTCCCTCTTCCTCTCCCGCTCACCCACTCTCTCCCCCTCCTTTATTTCACCCCTCCCCGTCCTCCCCCCCCCCTTTCCATGCCCCATCAGGCAACGCGGTGACGCAGTGTGCGGCGGGGTGCATAGGGGGCTTTGGCACGTACAAGCTGCCCAACAGCGGGTTCTGGGGCGTGGACGGCATCGTCTCCATCCTCGCCCACGAGCTCGCTGAGCTCGTCACCAACCCTGGTGGGTGCCCGCACCCCACGCCGCGCACACCTCTCTCTCATGCACAGTCATGGGACTCATGCCTCACAATGTGCGGTATATCAGAGTCATGGGCAGGTCAGGGACAGGGTGAAGGATGGCATTGTCTCCATTATCGCCCACGAGCTCGCTGAGCTAGTCACCAACCCTGGTGGGTGGGCACCCACACCCCATCCTGGAAAGGAAAAAGGATTCTCCGTGCTGCCGTGCCACTCCCGATGAGTGTGGACCACCCCTGTGACTAACCCATGCGTGGGTGTCCGCGCACTCCTCTCCCACGACAGACACTCCCACCATTTGGTTAGTTCCCGGTCGGAGGCACGACCAGGGGTCAAGGGCTCGTGAAGGACAGGGTGTAGGTGAGGGTGAGCGGCATGAGCACGGTCACCCTGCTGTGTGGTAACGCGTGCGGCGCTGCTGCGTGTATCGCGCCCGTGCTCTTTCTGCCTCCTCGTCGCCTGCTGCCACATGGCTCTTTTGCACTCCTATGCAATAGGCCTCTTCAACTGCATGCTCCTACCACCACCCGCTCTCCCTCACACTCCCCACCCCCTCCCAATGCTCATCAACCCCACCTACTCCGCGTCCCCCTCCCCCCCCGCACTGCTCGCCGGTGCACGGCAGATGGCAAGTCAGGGTGGACGGGCAACAACGGGGAGATTGGCGACATGTGCTCGTTTGACTTTGGGGCTGTCACGGTGGGCGTGGACGCGGGAGGGCAGTCGTTCGGCTACAACATGGCCGCTGCTGACGGCTCCGTCTTCCTCATTCAACGCCTCTGGAACGCCTTTGCTCCCATTGGCCATGGTCAGTCCCTGCCCTGTGCCCTGAGCCCTCCTTCTTTCCCTCTCTCCCCACTCCCCCCTCTCCCCCTTTTCCCATCCACGAGCACCATCCCTCCACAAGTCGCTCCCTGCTTCCTTGCCCCAGCTCATCCATTCTCAACTCCTTCCACCCCCTTTCCCACGCCTCTCTCACTTGACCACCGCAGGTAGCTGTGCAGTGGAGCTGCCCAAGGCCCTCACCACGCCACCCTCCTCCTCCTCCACCTCCTCCCAGAGCGTCCAATCCTCCTCCGCTTCAACCCCTCCCACCACACCCACTCCCACCACACCTACATCCTCTCTCCCAGCAACCCCTCTCTCCACGCTCGAAGCACCCAAGCAGTGCAAGGCAGTGCAGGCTCAGGCAGCAGCGTTCACAGGAAGCATCGGCGGGGGCAACTGCTGCAGCGGGTACTCAGACGCGTTTGTGCGCGTGCCGTGGGATCTCAGCTGCAGCAGCTTCTGTGTGTGCGTGGGTGGCGTGGCCAGCTTCCAAGTGTCCTGCCCTTCCGGCACCATCTTTGACTCAGCACGCTCCCTCTGCTCTGCTCCTTCTCCCTCCAACACCTGCCCATAAGCATGCGCCGTGCAAAGGCACGCACGCACGCATGTGCACACGTGCTCTCACACACACTCAGCCACACACACATTTTAGTGTGCTGCCTTGCCTCCACACACGACAATGGTGCTCTCCACAGCCTGTTGTTCCAGTCTGTAATCCTCATTCCAGTGCTCTCTCTGTTGCTGCAGCCTGTGCCCCTTGTTCCTCCCTGGCCTCCACAGTACATGCTGACTCGAGAAAATAGTGTTGCCTGTTAGTATTTGATCCCAGTGCACCTGGAGGACTATATTGGGTGTGGCACATGAGTTCAACAGCCACCAGTTCCCCTTGCGTGACCATGCTTTTTGCTTTGTTGTACCTATTAATTGTTGTATTAATTACGCGAAGGGTGTATACATGAGTGATTTTTGCAGGGTCTACGTAGGGATACGGCAGGCCTATACCAAAAACCAAAGCTAAGTACACTTCTGCGCCACATAAAGCACCAAGTATAGCGGGAAGACCTAGCATCCCCTATTCCATACTCGGTGCAGCAAGGTATAGTTGATTAGGGACGGTCAGTGTCGCAGCCTCGACATTCGTTTCGCGTCTCTTCTCAACGCCGAGTCGCCATGCCTCCCGCTCATGCAGCTCTCCTCTCGCGCCTTGCGCCCGCTTCCATCCTCGCTCACCCACCACCGCGCAGAGCTCGCCTCCCCCGTGACCCCTCGTTGCTCCGCCATGGGCTGCTGCCCGTTCTGCGCGCGCTGCGACGGTGCCATCTGCGTCAGGGACTTCAACTCCCCTTTCACATTCCGCGCCGCCAACATTGCTTGCTCCTCTGCGCTCCGCGCGCTCACCGCATAGAAGCTCTCGCGCGGAACCTGCTCCGACTGCGCCGAATCCTCCGTGACTTGCGCCTCTGCTGGCGGCGCGCCCTCGCTGCCCCTCGGCGGAGCATTTTCCTGTTGCTCGCTTCCGTAAGTGTCGCGCCCCTCATACCCCGCCGCGCTAGCCGGCGCATCCGAAACACGATTTCCGACCTCCCAGCCTGTAAGCGCCTGGGCGTCTCTGCTGTTTCTTGGGCTCACACAGCCATCTTCCTTGATAGCAAAGCCCACAATCCGCTTGAAGGATGCTCCACGGCTCACGGCCATATCGGGTTTGTCCGACGAGTCGTTAACCGCACGGGAATCGCGGCCGTTGCTACTCGTGCCGACGCTTGTCATTCCGCAGCCCCACCCCGCGGCACTGTCCCGCGCGGGGGACGAGAATTCACCACCCGCGGAGTCGGCGGAGGCCATTATCGCGGAAACGGAAGCGGAAGTAGCGGAATTTCCCCGGGCGAGAACCGGGGGGAGCAGTGTACCCGCGTCGAAGGAAAGGAGAGGGGTGGGGAGGAGGGGCGTGGTTGACTCGGGGAGGTTTATCCCGCGCGTGGCGCTATAGAGGCGGCCGCGCTGCTCGATGTCGCCCAAGGAGATGCATGGCGTCGTGGACGCGTGCGTCACCGCGTACGACGGTGACGTGGAGCAGCACGACGGGCTCGCACTGGGTCGGGATTCGCCGTTGCTCCACGCGCACTCGCCGCTGCTGCCCGCGCAGTTGCCGTTGCAGTCGTCGCACCCGCACTGGTGCCGCGAATAAGAGCATGATGAGCAGGAGCAAGGGGAGTCGGTTTCAAGATCGTCGCCCAACATGCAAGGGGAACGGATGGACTCGGCGTGCGGACCCATGCAGGCGTGCTGATGCATCGAGGAGCTAATAAAATGCGCACTGCCACTAAGAGGCCTCCACCCGTGAAACTTGAAGCAGCAAAATACTAGAAACAGGGGAGTCTAGAATAGGGAAGAGCCGATAAATCAATCAGGGTCCGAAGAGCTGAATTCTGATACATTCAGAAAGGGATAGATTTTTCGTGAAACGAAGTAAAGAACGTGATCTTAGAAACAGGTGGAGGTGAGACGTGTAAGGACGGGTCACCCGCCCTAAAGAAAGGAGTCGGTGAATGTTTCGCTTTGTTGTCCACCAAACCAAACAAAATGCAGAGTAGAGCGCCTCGGCGATGCTTACACATGTGCGTTACGGCTTCTTTGTGTGGCAGCGCAGCAAAGCGCGCCGTGAAAGGAGGTGTCGCCTGCGATGATGAGGCACCGCGTCCGAGCCAACGAGGAAGGCGAAATTGCGCTGTAGAGTGGATTCTCGAATTTCTCTCGCCAATACTTTCGCCACTAGGGTTTCAGAGAGGGCGACACTGTTGTGTACATCTTCCTTGACTGCGAAACGAACGTTTGCCGTGATGCGAAACACATTGTTACTGGAACGCGGCTGGCACATGGTCAGATGCGCTGGTCTTGTCTCTTCCGTATCTCGCGGGTGTTGAGGATATCTTCCAGCACTGCGTCCAATGGTTGGGTTCTGGAATCCAGGTGGTCCATGCTACCACGTGGAGAGTACAGACAACCTACTTCCCCACAAAACACCAGTCCAGCCTCGCTCGCGCGAACATTCGAGTCAGTGAAAGGCTGTCCACATGGCGGTGGGTGATCCCAGCTGTTCCCAGAGGCATGTACAGGTTGAACAGCTGTACAAAATGATATAGTTTCTGCTATTAAATAATTAAGAAGGACGCGTTGAAAGTGCACATATCGCAGGATCGTCTGCATATATCGATCCCCACAATCGATTGGGCAGATCGTTTGGCGAAACGTGGCGACCGCGACGCTGTAACGATCGTGGCTGAAAATTGACAGATTTCCCGCGAACAGTGATCAGTCACATTCTCACACTGTACAGAAATTTTGGCCAGAAAGCGTACTGTAGCATGATTACAGCGTCAGTAATAGGGTAACCGATCCGCACATCGATTGCTACTGACGATCGATCGTCTACTTTCACCGCGTCCTGACAACTTAAAGATTGTGTGTACAAACATATGAAGTAGTATCAGTCCACCTAGTTCATTAGTTAATAATATATTTCATGGCAACGCATTGTTGGTTCTTAGTAGTACCTGTGCATAATATCATTGTAACCATAACGTTATTGTTGAAAGTGTATACAACTGCATGATTATTTCATGAAACATGACTACGTCTCCTAGTGGAAGGCCTTATTATATTTGTGGTTGTACATACGATGGCGAAGCAGCTGTCACTTATTATGGTATGGGCATGCAAGTGATTGCATGCAGTACCATTGAAGACAAGGCGTCTCCTGGAAGATGCTGGTGTGCTCTTTCCTGTGGTTCATTATTACTTGCACATGACAGGGATAGGCAAGCTGTGAGAGGAGAAGGGAAAGGCAGGCTGAAAGCAAGTGCTCACATCTGCATGGGTAGACGCGAGAGGAGGCACGGGAGGAGAGAGGTGAGAAACGGAACGAGGAGGCTATGGCTTGTGGGTGCGGTCCTCGGAGGTGCGCTTGAAGACTGTCGGGAGGTGGTGCTTCGAGTGGGGCGTGCCGGCATCGAGAGGCAGCGACTGCACTCGCGAGAGCACCTCCACGGCCTGTAGCATGGTGGGCCTCGTGTCGGGGTCTGAATGGATGCACTGCGATGCCAGCACTGCCACCTGCCATGGGGGACAAGGGGGAGAGCGGGAGGAGGGGGGGGATGAGTGAGAGTGGAATGTTGTTCGCACGGTGTGAGGAAAAAGTAGAGAAAGTTGTACAGAAAGATGGAGCCGGTGCTGTGGCGATGCAGTTAGGAGAGGACGGGGTGAGCAGGGAGCAAGGGAAATGGTTGGTGGGACAGGGGTTCAGGTGGCGTATGGGAAGGTTGAGTGCGGTGCAGTGCATGAATGGGTAGGTACCTGGTAGAGTGCAGGGGTGGAGATGGCCCGTGCAATGAGCGGATCCACCATCCGCTCCACCAGTGACCGCTGTGTCAACCGTGCCTTGGCCTGCTCACCCATACACATGCACCCATGTACATACACAAACACACGTTAACACGGACAAAATGAGGGATGTAACTAAGGTGCATTTGTCAGGTGCCAAGGTGCATGTGCGCATCAGACGCTCCCAGGCGCTTGGGCAATCCATCACATCAGCTCTGCTCACCCAGTGCACGAGGCTCTGCTCGTTGGGCGGGCGCATGGCGTCGAGAGGGCGTCGACCCGAGATGACTTCCAGCAGCAGCACCCCGAACGCGTACACGTCCACTCGTGGCGTTGCCTCCGCTACCCACGCCAGCTCCGGTGCTGCCGTGCCTGCTGCCACCGCCTGTTGGGGGTGGGAGAGAGGGAAGGGGAATGATAGAGCAGGATGGGAGGAGTGGTGAGGTGGTGCGGAGGTAACAAGGTGAATACTGTCATGTTCGCCCCTCAAACTCCTCTCGATCCTCATCCCCCTCTCACCCCCCTCTCACCCCCCTCTCACCCCCCTCTCTACTCCCCCTCAACCCCTTCTCCCCGCCCTCGCCCTCCTCAGCCCCATCACCCCATGTCAACTGCATGGCACCAGCCTGCCACCCACGCGGCACCACCAGCACCTCACCATGTTCACAGACGCCGAGTGCGCCGAGGCAGCACCACCCCTGGCAGCACTGCCGGCACCGGCGGTGGCGGCGGGGGTGCGGGGGTGGGAGAGCAGCAGCGGCAGGCAGTAGTCGGCGAGCTTGGCGCGCATGGCGCTGTCCAGCGCCACACTCGCTGTCGTCAGCGCCGCATGGGTCATCTGCATGGCCCGTGGGGGAGAGTGGGGGAAGGGTGGGGGGAGCACGTGGGTGAGTGGGGTGAGCGCTTTGGTTCGGGGGGGTGCTTTAGAGAGGGGGGAGGCAAGGGGAGCGTGTGGTTGAGAGTGTGTGGTATGCAGAGGTAGGCAGGGCAGGGGTACGCAGGGGTGTGCAGGGGTATGCAGGGCTTACCTGGGGCGTCATGGCGTGCAGGTATGCAAGCCCCTTGGCAACGTCAAGAGCAATGGCCATGCGCGTGGGCCATGGCAGCGGTGCCATGCTCGCCTCCAGGTCTGCACCAGGGGCAAGATGGTGATGGTGATGGTGATGGTGATGGTGATGGTTGTGGTGATGATGATGGTGATGGTGATGATGATGGTGATGGTGATGATGATGGTGATGGTGATGATGATGGTGATGGTGATGGTGATGATGATGGTGATGGTGATGATGATGGTGATGGTGATGGTGACACAGAGGCACGCAGAGACGCACAAGGTGAATAAGAAACGGTGGGAGGAAGCGATACACGGACAGGTGAGAGACAGCACGCAGAGGCCAGAGGCAGGGCTGCGCAGGTGAGAGACAGCACGCAGAGGCCAGAGGCAGGGCTGCGCAGGTGAGAGACAGCGGCAGGGAAGCAGACAGCAGCGAAGCGGACGGCAAGGGATGTATAAAAGAGGAATGATGGGAAATGAGCGAGAGAGTGGGGAGAAAGTATGGAAGAAGGGGAGAGGGAAGGGGTGCATGTGGCGGTGTGTGTGTGTGTGTGAGTGTGTGTGTGTGTGTGTGTGTGTGTGTGTGCAGCACCCACCATGCAGGTGCAGCACCCACCATGCAGGTGCATGTCGAGCGTGCCATTGGGTGCCATCTCATACACCAACACCTTGGGTCCCCTGCCCGCTCCACTCCCACTCCCACTCCCACTCCCACTCCCCACACCCCCACCAGCACCACCAGCGCCAGCATCAGCGGCAGCAGCAGGGGCCGGCAGCGGGGTGCAGCAGCAGCCGAGCACCTCCACGAGGTGAGGGCAGCGCACAAACGCAAACACCTCCACGGCCGCCGCAAACGCTGCTGCCGTCTCGCCCTCTGACCCCTCCACCTCCTTTATCACTATCCCCGCCCCCTCACTGCCCTCCCCTTGCATGGCTGACGCCGGGTCAGGCGAGGCGGAGGAAGCGGAGGAGGAGGCAGAGGCGGAGGAGGAGAGGAGGGAGGGCGGGAGGTGGCCGGTGAAGGAGCGGCAGGTGCCGTGCGTGGCGAGGAGCGAGTCAGAGTGGAAGGCGTTGGTGGCCCGTGAGAGCTCTTCCAGGGTGAACTGGCGCATGGTGAGGTGCGTTGCTGGTGGTGGGCACAGGGAAGGGAGGGCAAGGGAGGGGAGGGGAGGGGGGAAGAGGGTCGGAGAGGGGGACAGGGGGAGGAAAGGGATGAGTGGAAGGCGTTGGTGGCCCGTGAGAGCTCTTCCAGGGTGAACTGCAGCATGGTCAGATGCACTGCTGCTGGGGCAGGGGAAGGGACGGCAGGGCACGGGAGGAGAGAGGACGAGAGGGCAGGGGAGAGAGGGGGGAGGGGAAGAGGGAGGAGAGGAGAGGAGAGGAGAGGAGAGGGGGACGTGAGGAGGAAGAGGAGGGATGGTGAGGAGATGTTGAGGTGGAGAGGGAAAACTGGTGGCACACAATGCATGACCCGCAAGCGTTTCTCACCCTCCACTGACTGACCCTCCACCCCACCCATCGTCTCTGCCCCTACCCCACCATCTGTGTCCCCCAACTCACCCGTGGGTCCGCCTAGCCGCCTCGCGATGGCAGCAGCAGTCGCAAGTGCACTGCTCCCCACGCCCCCCTCCCCACTCCCGCCATCCGCGCCATCCGCACTGCCGCCTGTCGCCCCTGCCCCTGCCGCCGCTCGGCCCTTCTTTGCCGCTGCAGCCGCTGCTGCTGCCTTGAAAGAGGAAGACTTGCCAGTGGTGCTGGTGGTGGTGGTGGCAGTGGCGGTGCGGGAGGGCTTGAGAGAGGAGAAGAAGGAGATGGAGGCGAGGGAGGAGGGCAGCGAAGACGGCAGCGCGGAGAACGGCGGCACCACTGAGTACCCCTCCAAGTCGTCCGGGTCGTAGAATTGACCCCTGGTGGGGAGGGCAGCACGCAGGGCGGAGGGGGAGGGGAGGGGGGGGGGGGGAGGAAGGGGAGGAGGGGAACGAGTGTAAGATGTTTGCATCGACGCGGAAATGGAAGAGGGTAGGGAAGTGAGAGGGAGAGGAGAGGGGATGCAGTGACGACAGCAGGAGCGCATGAGAGGCGCGCAGGGAGCGCCATGCCAACCAGCCATGCCAACCAGCCATGCCAACCAGCCATGCCATGCGTTGGCATCCCTGTACCCTGCCCACACCCCATGCCCCCTGCGTCCCATGCCCCCTGCCCCCTAACCTCCCTCTCCTCCTCCCGCATCTCACTTGGTGGTGCGGCCAGCATACTGCCACGCGCCTGGCCGGGTGCGGCGCAGCCCCCCTCTCAGCGCCAACACAGCAGCCACCACCAGCGCCGCCACCAGTACGAGCACCAGCACCACCGCCGCCGCCACCGCCGCTGCTGATGTGGGTGCTGGGAAGCTGGAGGCACCCTCCAAGGGGGCTGACCGGGGGGAAGGAGAGGGGAGGGGGGGCGTGGGAAAGAGCGAGGGTAGCAGGGTGAGGTGGTGGTTTTTGCAGGAACAGGGATGGTGGTGGGAAGCGGTGGAAGTGCTCACTCACACACATGACCACAACCGTCCACACAGTACTCTTTCCCCCTCGCCCTGCTTCCCACTTTCCTCTCCTCTTCTCTCACCCACCCACCCTCCCACCTGCCTCCTCCTCCTCCCTCTCCCCCTTCCCCATGCGCGCATCTCACCGGAGGGGCACATGCAAGCGGTGAAGCCCTTGGCGTCCACGCACGCGCGCTGCCCCTGCGCGCCGTCCGCGCACGAGCACAGCTCCACCTGCCCGTGCGCGCACGCGCGGCGCTGCTCGATGTGCGGAGGGGCGCCGTGGCGCTGCAGCACCGCACTGCACCGCCCCGTGCCGGCGAGGTCCACGCACAGCTCGGGGTTGCCCTCGAAGCTGCGGGGCGGGTGGAGAGGAGGGGCAGGGAAGCGGGAGGGGAAGGTGCCTGAGATATGAGAGTGTGGGTGGAATGTTACCAGAATGGTACGTACAGACTCATTCTGGTAGACGTGGGCGCGCTGATACTCGTAACAACCATTCACCCAGCCACTGTCCTCATTGCCCATGCGTGCTACAGGGGGACGCAGGGCGGGGAACGTGTGTGATTCACATTCACACGTGGAGATGTGCACAGGGCGAGTGTGTGTGCAAGCGCGCATGCATACACGGGCAGGCGAGCAGACCTGGCGAGCGGCAGGTGGTGGAAGGAGGCATTGACGCGGCCGCGGAGGGCGTTGTCCGCCACACTCAGCTGCTGCAGCGGCAGTGCTGCCAGGCCCATGGGCACCTCGCCACTCAGGTTGTTGCTCTGTAGCAGCCTGCAGCGGCGTGGGGTGAAGATGGGGAGATGAGAGGGGGAGCGAAGTGAGACGAGGGCAAGGGGGGGGACGGCGAGAGGGGAGAGAGCCGAGAGGGCGGCAGCAACAGAATAGGCGGCAGTGGCAAGAAAGGAACAAGCTCAAGAGAATCGTCAGACGTGGTGTGGTGTGGTGTGGTGCGGTGTGTGGTGTGTGGGCGTACAGCGTGTGGAGGCGGGTGCAGTGAGCGAGGGACAGCGGGATGGTGCCGCTGATGTTGTTGCTGCTCACATCCCTGCACGCACACACGGGGCACGAGGAAAGGGGAGCAATGGAAGCGATGAGTAGCGGTGTGATGCTGGATGGTGTGCGAGAAGGCAGAGTACGTTTCAGTACGGATCATAAGCGAGAGAAGACGGGGAATGGGAGGTGAGTGGGAGGAGGAGATGGGGACGGTGCATGCATGTGCTGCTGCGAGCAAGCACAACACTGCGTGCGCGGCACGTGACAGCAAGCGCCTCACAGTGACAGCAAGCGCCTCACAGTGACAGCAAGCGCCTCACAGTGACAGCAAGCGCCTCACAGTGACAGCAAGCGCCTCACAGTGACAGCAAGCGCCTCACAGTGTTTCGAGGTCCTGCAGCTGCCCCCACTGCCACGGCACGTTGCCCTCAAACCGGTTGCTCGCCAGCACCCTGCACACACGCACCACGCATGCACGACGGGAGAGAGGGAACTGCGTCTGAATAAGCGCACTTAGCATGCGTGGAGAGGTGCGGCTGACAGGGTCGGGCAGTGAGGCACAGATGGAGTCATATATCCACGGAGTCACAGAGAAGCAGTGCGTTGGGGCATGGCAGTTACAACACAGCATGGCATGGTGGGCAGAGAGAAGGAGAGGACGGGAAGCGCAATGGTGCTGAGGGAGTGATAAGGGTAGGGTATTGCTGCATGTTGCATGGCATATCATGGCAGCAGCAGCAGAGGCAGAGGCAGGGGCAGGGCGCTCACAGAGAGATCATGTTCTTGGAAATGGGCCATGGCAGTCGCCCGTGGAAGCGGTTGCTCGCCAGGTTACTGATGGGCACACACACGTGGCACACATACGTGGCACACACACGTGGCACACACACACACACGTGGCACATACATGGCACATGGTACACGGCACACGCGCACATGGACACAGAGCAGCATGAGAAGGCAATGGCGGTTGCTGTCACTGGCTTGAGAGCGCGAGCGTGTGAGCTGATGTGCTTACGTGTGCATGTATGAGATTGTGAGAACGCCTGTGTGTGTGCATGCAAACCCGTGCGCCCGTGCATGAGTGCCCATGCATGTGAGAGTGCGCGCGTACAGGAAGGTGAGGCGGCGGTTGACGGAGAGCGCGCGGGGGAAAGTTCCCCCGAGGGAGTTGTTGCTGAGGTCGACGTGCAGCAGGCGCTTCAACGTCGCTAGGTTCTCCGCCACCCGCCCCGTCAACTTGTTGCCTCCCAGATCGCTGCCCGTGCCAGTTGGAAAGGGGGATTCAGGAGGAATGGGAGAATGAGTGGAGAGTGGAAGGAGGAAGCAAGTGAGGTGTGAAGGGCACAAAGGCCAAGTGGATGAAGCAGAGAAGTCAAGTCGGGGAGGGACGGGGAAAGGGGAGGAGTAGGAGACAGGCGGTGTTGGTGGGGGGGTGGTGGGGAAGCGATGGGGGGCAGAGAGGTGGGCAGTAGGGGGTTGCGAGGGCGGCTAAGGGGCTAACTGACATCATTTCGAGCTTGCGGAGCGTGTTGAGGGACTGGGGGAGATGGCCCTCCAACGAGTTGTTGGCTAGCTTGCTGCTCGCCCGCACGGGTGGTGACACACACACACACACACAGAAAGTTGCACGCACAGAGGAATGCAGAGAGAGGGAGACACACACACAGAGGTGAATGGTGGAGGGGTGGACTCGCGGCCTCCCTGCCTCAAACTCACTCACACAGGGTACAGAATGCCACGACGTGTGTGGGATTCGAAGGAACCAGCAGCGCAGGCATGCGAGCATGTGGGCAATGATGTGCATGTCTCGTATGCGCAATCGTGCGTGTCCCAAGGAGGCAGCTCGAGACCAGTAGCGAGGCTGGGAGCAGGGAGCACGCACAGGGCCATGAGGTTGGTGAGCGAGAGCAGCGACGGGATGCTGCCCGCTAGCTGGTTGCCTGACAGGTCCCTGCCAGGTGCCAAACAACACACAGCACACAGCATGCATAGCGCAGAGAGGAGAGGGATGAAAGGCAAAGAGGCATTAGGGAAGTCCCTCCCAGCGCACCACCGGCACGCCGGTGGAAGTCAGCATGCCGCAGCTGCCTGCACTCACTGCCCTCCATTCTTGACGCGCCTCAGGAAATAATACTTTCGCTTCAGCTCCCGAACTGTCCTCTCTCTTATCCCTATGCCCCCCCGACTCAATCCCCATCTCTCCATCACCCCCACCCCCTCCGAACCCTTCTCCCGCTTCCGCATCCCGTCCCCCAGTCCCATGCGCGCTTACAGGCGGCGCAGCGCCGTCATCTGATCCACTTCCGCGGGCACCTCCCCCGTGAAGGCGTTGCGCCACACGATGCTGCGCGCACGCAGAGGGGGGCGCACGGGGAGGCGGGAAAGGGGTTGCGAGAGGGGGAGGGGGGATGAATAGTAGGGGGCATGGGAAGCTCTAACCAAACGTAATACTTCTACTGTCTACAGCTACTGCAAGCGTTAACGGATGTGGCATGGCAGGGCAGGGGATGGCATGGGCAGGGCAGGGGGTTAGGACAGGGCCGGTACGCACAATGAGGTGAGAGCAGTCAGTTGGCCGAGCTGCGAAGGCAGGTTACCACCGATGGCTGTTTCGCTCAGCTCGCTGAAAGCGGGAATGGAAACAGAAGAGGATTGGTCGCGGGAGGCGGTGAGGTGGGAAAAGAGGCGGAAGCGGAAGAGACGGAGGAAGAAGGGCAGCGGTGCACCAAAACGCAAGTGCCAGAGGAGTTGAACGTGCAGTTGAGGCGCCAAAGGCGGCGTTGCATTGGCATCGTGGTGGGTGGTGGACGGAGTGGCGCGACTCACAGTTCCTCCAGCCCGCTCAGTGCGCCTATGGACGCGGAGAGCTCCCCGCCCAGATGCTGCGCGCGGATGACGCTGCGGCGGGCGCAACAAGGGATGGGGGATGGACGACACGTGGACGGTTGGATGGCAGGCAAAAAATGCATTACTGGGCCAATGTGGGCGACAGTGAAGGGGTAGATGGGGAGAGGAGAGGAGAGGAGAGGAGAGAAGAGGAGAGGAGAGGCGAGGAGAGGAGAGGCGAGGAGAGGAGAGGAGAGGCGAGGAGAGGAGAGGAGAGGCGAGGAGAGGAGAGGCGAGGAGAGGAGAGGAAAGAAGAGGAGAGGAGAGGAGAGGAGAGGAAAGAAGAGGAGAGGAGAGGAGAGGAGAGGGGCGGAGAGGAGAGTGGTTCGAGTGTCGTGTAGAGGAAGGTGAATTCCTTCCTCCCCATGCATCTTAATATGCTGGTTCCATCTGTGGCTTCACAGAGTATTCTTTCATCCGTCGCACGGTCACTCGCGGTTCATGTTACCGCTGTCGCTTTACCAGAGCAGGGACTGGTGGGTGGGTGGTGGTACCCTCCTGCTGCGCACGTGCAAGCATCACGCTTGCGGCATTGCAGTATGATACTGCCCGCCGACGTATTCCCGTCCTCTCCCTCTTTGCCCCCACACTTACATCTTGCTCACGTATGCCTCGCGTTTCTCTCCGCTGCCCCGCTCCCCGCAAGTCACCCCCACCCACTTTCCCCCGCACGCGTCGTCTCCGCTCCAGCTGCTCAGCGCGGGGGGGTTCCCCCACGCCGTCTTGAGATCTAAAAGCGCGCGGACTGCGGGGGAGAAGGGGAAAAGCGAGGTTAGGGGCGCGAGGGGGAGCGACGGGCGGGTAAACTGCAGGTAGGCTGGTTGACGACAAAAGAGGTGAGAGCGAGATCACGAGCATGCAGTGTAAAAGAGTCCAGTTTCAGATGATTGCGATGAGGGAGAAGTGAGAGGTAGAGAGACTCTACGCAAGTTTCGTCTAATAAATCGGGCTCGTGTTGGGTTCGGAGAGCGGGGAGAGCGCACCATCGTCTGGTGAGGTTTGTGTTTTAAGAGCATCGGTAGAGAGTAGACCGAGGCCGAGCAGCGCGAGGAGAAAGACGCAGCTGGCTCGATGACGCGCTGGCTGCATTTGAAATCTATTAGAACTGCTGTGACGCCATGAACGCCCCATAATGCTGGATGCGAGATCAGTGCAAAGGTCAAGCGAGCCAACTCTTAGATTTAGATACCCAACAAATGCTCGAACCTCGATCAGTGTGTTATGCTATTGCCCTACTCTGCATGCATGTGGGAGCGCTAGTTTCAGTTCCCAAACTCTGCCAAAATAAACCTTGCTGCTTTGTTCCAACATAGGAAATATGGATGCTTGGTGCCCACGAACTGGATTGCACGTTTGGCTGGGACGTCCGTCCACTCGGTTTAGGCTAGGTTATGTCTGGTTAAATTGGGTTCAGTTGGGGGCTGCTCTCCTCCTCTCTCACACATAAGTGAGCCAGCGCCCCCAACCAGGCCTGTGATGCGTGTGGGAGGGACACGTGTAGCGGATCGCGATGTCAGGCGCGCTGCGCAGGTGGAAACAGAAAGGCTTTGTTTTCGCAAACAAGATTGAGCACTGTTACTGAAATTCCAATGGTTGACGAAGGTATCTTGTCTGTCGATAAGGTTTCGCCAGAGCAAGCGAAGCACGAATTTGCTGGCCGGAAACGGAGTTTCGACTTCGACAACCTGGGGAGTGAGGCACTTGCAACTGGCTGCATGAGGTTGGGAGGCACAGAACCCTGGGGAGGTCCAGACGAAATTTCCTTGTCCGTGAGTAAAATTGATATAATACAGTAAGTGGCAAACTCGCTACATCATGTAAAAGCTAAAGTAGCAATTTACTATCATCAGACGGATAGTTTATCAATCTAAATAAAATCTGTCTTCATTACGGAAACTTCCTGTGTACAGAGTCCAAAACCAATATGAGGGCATGATCACCAACGGTTTAAACGAAAAAAAAAAAAATCTACAAACTCATCTTGGGTCATACATCGCACCGTGATTTTTAGCCCATTATCACATGGTCTACTGCAATAACCAGGTATTATTGCTCTTTGTAAGGAAATTCCCTTTCCCTTACTTCGCATCCCTGCTCAACGCGTACATCACTGTAGCACCTCATTCAGCACCGTTACCACTCGCGATCATCGCACCGATAATCATCCCGCCATTTTCGCACATCGCATCCCGACCTCACGGCTCGGCTGGTAACCTGCGCTCCGGGCCTACGCTTCGACACTTTCCCAAACCTCAGTCCCAGGCTCGTCGCGCGACTACCACAGACCATTACCGTTACCACTGTATTTTCGCTATATATTCTTCGCTCATGCCTTCGCTCATTGAACTCTTGCTTCGATAGTGCAATTCTCGTCCGTTCCCTCAATTGCACTCGTAACACTTGGTATTCAGAGCCTACGATCCCATCTCGGACCGCATCCACACCTTCGCTTCCCCACTATCTCAATTTTTTCGGGGGGGGTAGACGTCTCTCAGCGATACAGCGCCGCCGCTCGTAGTGCTCTCACGCAAGCACGCACGGCCACGACCGAGGCTCTCGCTGAGCTTGCCCGACACCCCCGCCATGGCCGATTTTACGCTCGCCACATTGACGCAAGAGCAACTCGATCGTCTCGTGCGTCAACTGGAGGACTCGGCGCTCGAAATCGCGACTCTCACGGCGGAACGTGACTCCGCCCGTCAACAGTCTACGATGAACGCACCAACAAACGCAGCTGCACATTCGGATGAGCCGATTGTAATCTCGTCCGGCACACCAACACAACATGACAGCACGGGACAATGCTCAGGCGCAGCCAGTGAGGGCGCCGCCCAGCCGATGCCGGGCATGGGAGGAAACAGGATCGCACCAAGCCCACGGGAGCCTCGAGAAGCCCGTCGGCACGTGGAATTTGCGGCGACAAGTGGCGAACACTCCAACATGGCACCAATGCCGCTCAAGCCGCAACGCCCGCCCTGCTTCGACCCAAGTCAACGCGGCGGTCCGACAGTTCAATCGTGGGTCTTCACGATGAACGTTTTCTTCGACGCCAATCACGTCGAGTCGGACGCCGCAAAAATCCGGTATGCGGTTTCACTGCTAAGGGGCCCCGCCATGGACTGGTGGCGAGTCATCGTGACGTCGCCACGCGCCTACGAGCCACCGTCGCACGAGGAAGAGCCCTCGGGCCCAGCTGTCACCTGGATTTCGTTATGCGAGACCGCCCAATACAGCACGTGGGATGTGTGGTGCGTAGGGCTTCGGGCGCGTTTTGAGCCGATCGCGGCTTCAATTTCGGCGCGTCAGAAACTGCGCACTTGGCGCCAGCTCGGGTCAGTTCAAGACTACACCAGCGGTTTTCTCGCACTTTGCGAGCAGGTTGGCTACATGCACGAAGCGGAGCGGGTGGACCGTTACGTCGGAGGGCTGAAGCCGGATATCTCGCACGAAATAATGCTGCGCTGACTCTCTAATTTCAACGAGATTCTTGCGCTCGCCGAGAAGATCGACATTCTACGCCGACCGAGACCGGGGTCCTACTACGGACATCGCCCTCGGGGACCGACCGAGCACGCCACTGTACATGCCGTTGCAACAAATGCAGCTGCCACACCATTTAAGGGGCGCTGCTTTCCTTGCAACAGGCCGGGCCATCGCAAGAGCGAATGCCCAGAGGAGCTGAGGCGCCGAGGAGCAGAGCAGGGGAGGGAGTCTTAGAGGCAGGGAAACGCCAGCAGTCAGTAGAAGTTGGGCCAACTACTGACGAGACTGCCTGCTCGCCCAACCACACCGACCCTCACCGAGTCACATTACCGATTCACGCCATCGATCGGGCTCGGATGAATAAGGAGGGTACAGCGACGGATTGCCCGGTACTGATCTACGGGAAAATACAGGGAGCAGCAGTGAAGATTTTTATTGACGGAGGAGCAAGTCACAGCTTAGTTAATACCGCAACCGCACGGAAATTACAGTTAACACTTAACCGATGCTTACCGGAGATAGACGCACGCTTAGTCGACGGAACACCACTGGCCATACGAGAAAAGGTGGAGCGCGTAAAAGTCCGCTGCGGAGGGAACTTCGGGTTTACACAGGAAACGCTCGCAACGACACTGGATGGGCACGACATTTTATTGGGACGTGATTGGCTGCGACGGTATAACCCACGAATTGACTGGACGACGGGTAGCTGCACAGTGCGAAGTAGTGGTAACTGGGTCGTCCTACCTCGCTGGCAGCCACCCGAGTCTTCGACGGTCCAGGTCAACGCCATCACAATGAAACGGGCTGTCGCTGCTGGAGCTGACGTGTACGCAGTAGATATAGCATTAGTAGAAAAAGAGGAGCCGCCGAGCGATTTTCAGAAACTGTTGGCAGCTGTACCACCCGAACTGCAGGCACTACTGAAACGGTTCCCAAGTATTTTTCCGGATGATTTACCGCAAGGGCTGCCACCTCAGCGGGCGCATGACCATAGGATCGAGTTAGAACCGGGGGCAAAACCAACTGTACAGCGCCAGTTCCGACTGACACAGCCAGAGCTCGACGAGCTAAGGAAGCAGTTAGATTACCTGTTAGAGAAGCAGTTTATTCGACCGAGCTCGTCACCGTTCGCCGCACCGATACTGTTCACACCAAAAAAAGACGGAGGATTTCGCATGTGCATCGACTACCGAGCGCTTAACAGGGTAACAGTCAAATCGCGGTACCCCATCCCCCGCGCCGACGAACTGATCGACTAGCTGCGAATAGCACGGGTATTTTCGAAAATCGACTTACGCGGGGGTTACCACCAGATTCGGGTCGAACCATCGGACTGCGCCAAGACAGCATTTCGGACTAGGTACGGGTCATTCGAGTACACAGTGATGCCTTTCGGGCTGACCAACGCGCCTGCAACATTTCAGATGACCATGAACGAGGCGTTTAGGCCACTTTTAGATAACTGCGTCATAGTTTACCTCGACGACATCCTCGTTTACAGTCGGGACCAGCAGCAGCACTTAGTCGATCTCGAAGCAGTTTTTAAAATTTTAGAGACACATCGGTTATTAACCAAGGGCTCCAAGTGCGAGTTTTT